TATTTTGAAATAAACATATTAAATACCTTAAAACATCCCTATATATTAAAACTGAAGCATAGGTTAAATGACAACCTTGAATAGCATGATTACGTGTCAAGCTGAAAGCGATCCTCAGTCTTTTTTTTTTTTTAAATTGGATCAACTTTACTAGAATTATTAAAAGGGACATTAAATAGACCATTCAATACTTTACTATATATCATTGCAATAAATAAAAATTAAAGTTTTTTCCTTTGATATTTGGTCATTTAATGTATTAAAAAGGAAAAATGTGATTATTTTTTTATGAAAAGAAAGATGGAAAAGAAATATGAAATCAGAGAGATTCATGCAAATTTTACATATTTGTATACATAATGTTACAGAATAGTTTGAAAAAAAATTGTTTGCATAATCTATTCCTCTTTTTTTTTTTCTCTTCGACGACGACATATAATGATTTTGACTGTCTCTATTGAAGCTCTGAGAGATAAGGTTATTTTTTAGTTCAGCCAATCTGAATTCATTTTGGGTTTAACATAGATTTTAAAAATCTATAAAATAAAATTATTTATGAACCTAAAATCAATCATGATGAGGTAAAAAAAACTCATTTTTTAGAAGATTGCCACCATCAAATCACTAAAATAAAAACAACAAAAAACATTATTTATCATTTCGTGTCATGTTTAAAATTTATTGAATTTGATACATATTCTTATACATAGAGAAAAGATAAAAATTACAAATATATAATTGATTTTAAATTATAAATATATCATTATTTTAGGTATTCTTATAACAAGGTGCGGGTTATCACCTAGTTATTTAGTATAGTAGAATAATATATGCCATGCAACAGACATATGCCAGACTCAGATTTATATCAAGTTTAGTGGAAGACCAATTTAATAGATTATTTACATAGTAAAACGATATCTCTCATGCATTATATAGTTCCAAATATTTACAAAATTATAATTAATAAATCAAACCTTTTGTTAAAAACAAAATTTTATATGTTACTTTAATTTTTTTTTTATAAAAGTATTTATGATAAAATTTGTTATTTAAGATAAGTTTAAAACTATTAAAAATCTTATATATTTACACTATTAAATTAGCCATAAATATGTTAAATAAATCTTAAATCTCATCAGCTCAACAAATATAACTTTTATAAAATGCACACAAAAGATAATGAAAGAGAATAGGTCTGAGTATTAGGTTTTCGTGTAGGTACGGATTGGTTCATTTTGAATATTTGAACATAAGTAGGTATTTGAAGTTTTTTGGTTCAAGTTCGAGTTTCGAAACCATAATTTAAATATCAATAAAATATCTGTAATATTCAGGTACGTAAAGGGTCCATATTAGTTTCTTTATTTAGGACCCAAAAAGACTTGATACACCTAAAACCCCCCAAAATATTGAAACACAAAAAATACCCATAAACCCAAACAAATATGCAAAATATTGAAATACCCAAAAAATACCAACATGAACCGATCCGTTCTGACCTGAGAAATAAAAAAAAAAATGTTTCGAATACCCAAAAACTTAAAAAAAATATTGAAACTTTACCCAAAACCCAAAAATTAAATCAAAAACCTGAAATCAAAACTTAAAAAGTATTTGTAATACCAAAAACATATCTAAAATGTTCAAATATACACTAAATATTTCAGGTATTTGGGTACCCAATCAGGTCTCAGTATGATCTTGACTCGAAAGAGACCTGCAGGTCCAAAAAAATTAAATTTGTAAACCTGGACCCAAACCTCACCTATATTTCCAGGTAGATTTCAGTTTAGTTTTTTCAGGTTTGGTAAAATATTTATGCCTAAGAAAGAATTATATAAGAGTGTACATACAAAATCGTAAGTAAACTAATTCATGAACTATATAACTAGAATAAATTATCTTCTTCGCTATCATATGATTTTGAAATATAATAGTGTACAACAAAATCAAAATACTAATTCACATTCTTTTTATATAATTCAAAGAAAAACTTTGCTCTTTCGAAGCGCGAATCAAAATCTAGTAAAATTATTATTAAATAATGCAAAATGGTTGAGGTGGACAAAAGGTCTTAAGTAGTTTTCGTAGGTTATAAGAGAAATTTGGTTAATTGGGTTGTAACCCCAAAAATTTGGTTAATTATATATTTGGATAATGATTGAGGTGATGATTGTTTGCATTAATTTTTAGTTTTTAAATTTTGGTTTTTTGATTTTATCTTTTTATTTTTGGTTTTCAGCTTTTGGTTTTAGTTTTTAGATTTTAATTTTGGTTTTTGTTTTTTCTGTAGTTTTTATTTTTTTTTAAGAAATAAGTAATACATTATTTTAAAAGAATACAAAAAATAGAAATAAAACATTTAAAAGCTACTATTACAATATAATGATTATTTGATAATACAAAATACATTAACATGTTTTAATTATTATATTTTTAAGAAACTTATATTATACTAAATTATAAATCATAAAATAAATATAAATTATACAATATTTTAAAATATTAATATGGAAAATATTTATAAAATTTGTTGTATATAATTGAAATTATTAAATTTGAATGGCATTTTTTCTTTTTCATATTAATATAATTATTTTATTAATAAAACTTTATAATTTAAGTTATTTTTAATAAGTCTATTAATTATTAAAATTATTAAATAATTTATTTATAGAAATGAATAACCAATTTAAATTATTTAATATTATTTATAAGTATAGAAAATTATTTTGACATGAAACATAAATAATGATTACACATTACTTCTTAAATGATATTTTTTGTACCAAACTTTTATTAGACTTGTCTCTTTATAAAATATTATTATTTAATTATTTAGCTAATTAAAATGTACCTCTTTCTAATAAAAAATAAATATTTCGTTTTATTATTAAATATCAATAAAAATGTTTTTAGGTTTCTCTTCATAAATTGATTAAAGTTTTGAAAAATCAGTTTCCTTAAACTTTAGGAATCTATTTACTAGAAAACTTGATTCGTAAAAAACGGTTTTAGTAAAACAAAATTCCAAAATCTTGATTGAGTAAAAATTAGGAATCTATTTACTAGAAAACTTGATTCGCAAAAAAATGGTTTTAGTAAAACAAAATTCCAAAATCTTGATTGAGTAAAAATTAGTTTTTAGAAAAACAAAAAATAAAAATTAATTCAAAAACTACAAACAATCATCACATGAATCATCGTGTTTGATATGTTGCATATTTACTTGGTTTTAACCTTGCATTCTTATTCATGTTGAGCATATAGATTAGATTTAGACACTCTTAGGTTGCATTTTGCATTCATTTGTCTTTATCAGGTGGTGAAACATGCTGTGGAGTTCTTGGAGGTGTTTGGGATCAATCATGTGCCAAAAGAGAGTGCAAAGATGTCATTTGGCGAGCCGGAGCAGCCACAGCGAAGTCAAGAGGTCGCTGCAAGCAACATCAGTCACAGCGGACCCCTGGGGCGGAGTCAGGGGATCGCTCCAGACCACAGCGGAGGCTCGGCAGCGGATGTAAGGGGACCGCTCGCGT